AAAATAACAAATAAATAAATAATACTAATACACTCTTAAAAATAAAGGTGCTTAAAAGGTTCTTCACAGCGATGCCATAGAAGAACCATTTTTGGTTCCACAAAGAACCATCTCTTTCTTACCTTTTTATAATCTGAAGAACCTTTTGTGAAACAGAAAGGTTCTTCAGATGTTAAAGGTTCTTTCTGGAACCATTTAGACAAAAAGGTTCTTCTATGTCATCGTGAAGCACCTTTATTTTTAAGAGTGTATAAGCATTATTTTTTAGCCTACTGTCTGCAATCCTTTCGAAAACAGACCTGCTACTCATTTTCAGGTCATGTGACCCACCAGTTGAGAACTGCTGATGGCAAATGTGACCACAAGGGGGCGTCAGATCCCAAATCAAGTTTGGTCAAATTCCTAAATGTGTTTTTGATCTGCAGTACTGTACATTGTAAAATGTGACATTTGGCTGGAAATGTGGCATCAAATTGCAGATCCAAGGATGGCTGATGCTATTTTATTTTCTGAATTTCTTCAAAAAATGTCTTCAATCATCTTGAGCTCTTCAAGTGCACGTACTGCGAAAGTCTAGGAACGTTCACTTGTTTTAAAACATACAAATAATGAATGCTACAACATGACAAATGCCACAATACGTTCCATGTAAGCAAGACCAGAGATAATAGATGAGTAGATGAGAATGTAGAGGGGTTTTTTTAAGGGTCTGTTCTGATGGTCTGTTAGATTAATGCACCAATGCAAGGTTTTAAAAACACAACAGTATGCAAGTTATCCAGTATTGCGACTGTGCTGGAAGTACAACTGAAGAACTTAAATTGAGTGCAAAAAGTCTCAACTCATTGACTCAGTTGTGTGATATAACAGCCATTAATTTGATTGGACTGGTTGCAAAACACATTACATATAATCTCAGGAGATCTCAGCCTCTTCTCAGAAGTGTGAAGAAACCCTTGTACACCGTGTAACAGGTCATATCCTTAATAATCGTCCGGCGCGGGAACATAGCTTGCTAAGCAGTGTTTTGCCTGAGCGCTCTAACAGGAACCCAGAGCTTCAGATGAATGGCTTCCTCTCACTCCTAAAAACGTACTCGGCCGGTGGTCAAAGCTCGAAGTTGAGGAGGCTTCAGGGGGAAGAGGGGGTGTGATTGGTTCAGCAGGTGAGGGCTGGGAATGCCAGATAAAGAACAGAATTTCTTGCATCACTTCCGCTGTTTGTTCTTCTCTCTATTTCTAAGCGATGGAATGCTCAAAACAAGTTCGTTAAGTTTGAATAGCGTCTTCTTTTTAAAGCCGAGTTTGACCACCCCACCCAAATATCACAAAGACCTTTCCACAATACACATCCTTCAGTGTCCAAGAACCGACTTCCTGCCCTGAAACCTCTTCATTTTAACATATATCTAGCAGACTGTTTGTCAATGACGTGTTGGTACCATACGGATGGTACGAACTAATGTTTGTTTTTGTTGAAGTGCCTGTTGTAGGATTTCTTCACATCTACTGTAAATAGGTGTGGTGGGTAACAGGAAATGGCACTGCCAAGTGGCCAAATAATACAAACTTATAATAGCCATAGAGTGGGGGAGCTATGACGTCACTTTGTAGGCGGATCGGCTGTTAGCATCGCACTGGTTCCCTCGACAAAAAGCCAACAGGATTTCTCCATAGGCTTTTGGATGCAAAAAATAAGCTCTGTGTTCAATCATAGTTCATGAAACTTACACGTTTTGTCCATCAAGATAATCTTTACAAAATAATATAACTTTTATTAATTTTGATACCTAAAAGCGCCAGAACGTATTAAATAACAGAGTGAGCGAGTTTTTGGATATGGTAAGATTAAATTTATTTTAGTGAATAAAGTACCACATTTCAGCTATCGTTTTGTTAGGATGGGTAGGCCTACACAAAATGTTATTTTATCTTTGATTCTAGAAAATCCTCAATATGCTTTGTAACAGCTTCATGTGGCCATAAACATTTAATTTTAACGTGGCTTTAAAGGGGTGGTTCACTGGGTTTTTTCTAGGCTTGATTGTGTTTATGGGGTGCAGTCTAACATGTGTTAATGCTTAGTTTAAAAAAAAACGCATTATTTTTGAGAAGAAAATGCCATTGCCATCGAAACTTTTCTCAAGACAGTTCCCTTATGTGATACATTAATATAACCCCAAGAAATGTAATGCATTTTTGTACTTATTTTACTGTTATTTTCGGGATCTACTGGGACAGTGATAAAGATCTACCAGTCGATCGCGATCGACGGGTTGGCGACCACTGGTATAGAGAATAAATGAAATAATCATAACTAAAAGATACGAAAGCACGTATTTCTGTACATTTTGAAATAAGGTGCATTAAAAGTCAATAAATCCTTGATTAATATGAATATTTTAATTAAAAACGTGTCTCCAAGTACTATTCAATAAAATTATAGTGCATTTAATCTATTAAATAACAGTCCCTACCAGCCGTTTTTGTAGGCGTTAAACTGCCAGAATTTTAAAAGACGATATCTCCATTTGCATTGAACTTTCAGCTTCGTAACTTTGCAGATATTGTTTATGCTCAAACAGCAACATTACACACTAACTAACGTTAAAAAAGTGAAATCACAATGAACCACCCCTTTAAGCACTATGCACGTGACGACGAAGCCGGTAAATGTGGTGTTTACATGGAATAATCGTAATATGAGTTGACCTTATGGTGCAAACCCAGAGCCGTATCAGTAGGAAATCGATAAAACGAGCATCTTCCATCCGAAGACTTGTGTTGCATTTCGGGGCAAAGCAAAAAAACATTGTCGAACAACAATATAAAATGCGGGAAACTATTAATTGGTTATTCTACAATTAATTGTACTATAAATTATACACTACGATTGGAAAATACTGTAAATTGATAAACTGTTCGGCATGATGACGTTTAATGTCTCCGACAGCACCTGCAGTCCCATTTAGCAACTTGTTAGCAACGTTTTTTTTAAGAAACGTAACAGTTTAAAAAAATCACGAGTGGGTTGTAACTGGTGTGATTTATGTCGTAGAATAAAACGTGAAAGTATCTTCAGCTTGTGTGAACCACAGACCTTATTTTAGGGGATTTAACCAAACTCCCATTCAAAAAACCCATTGACTCTGGGACGATGGAACAGGAAGTGCTAAAATGCTAGGGTTTATTATTTTATTATTTATTTTATTTATTATTTTGTAGGGTTTTTGCCTACAAAGTGACACTCTATATAGATACTCAGCGCCCCCTTCTGTTAGGGAGGAAAAAGTACTATTTTGTAATGAAATACTAGCATTTTTTAATTAATTATTTATTTATTTTTATTAATTAAAAAAAATACTATGTGAAAGAGTGTTGTTAATTAAAGATTGTCAATTAAAACTATTAAAAATAGTTTTTGTTGATTAAAACTGTAATGAAAAACTATTACTTAAAAAAACAACTGAATAAAATAAGTTTAAATTGAATTACTAAAATTGAAACTGAAATAAAAACACCTAAATAGAAATATTTAAACTGAAATGAAAATATAAAAATAAAAGCTCATTCAAAATATTAATACAATAGTAAATAAATAATACTAAAAATAACAACGATTTCATTATTCTCAATATCACCAGGTAACAAATAACTCATAATAAATGAAGGAATTATTAATTAACAATAAATTAACTAATGTAAGTGTATCCAGCTTTATATAGTACAGTATATAGTAGCATAGTTCAGCTGCTTGATGTATCATCATAAAATGTGAATTACAGGCCTAGCCCAGCTCTAACCGGCTAAATGACTATAAGGCATTAAGATATTATAAACATTAATATGATTTTCTGTAAAGCTACTTTGAAACCGTGTGTATTGTGACAAGATCTATATAAATAAATAAAAAGACTGATGTGGACTAGTGTGCTTTACAGCACAATAAACATTCCAAACAGTAATACACTTCATTCTTGTCATTACATGCATGTTTAATTTCATGATTGGCATATCTGAAATACTAAAGGTTATTTTACATTTTGAATCCAATTTCATCGTAACTCTTATCAGTCTGATTGAATAATTCAAAAATTGGAAAGATGGTAAAAAGCATGAATTATACTACTTATGATTCATTTATCACAATGGAAATGAAATATTGAGCACAGTGCATCGTGGGATATGGTACCCAGCACAGTGTGCTCTTTTTTAGTAATAGGTCATATATGCACACAGAACATTTGCAGAGGCCTACTACACACATTATACCTATTCTATAGGCTACTGTACTAAGTATGACAGTAAAGATAAAATAATAACTGACAGATGTTCCAACCAAAACGACAAGTCAGAATTCTTTTTTTTTTTCCTTTTCAGTGTCTGTGCTCTTTAGTGTTGCTGCTTTTTGTGTCATATTTTTTTAGTCCTTTGGGTCTACTGTGTAGTTTTAAGTGCTTTATAAATAAATACATTCGATTAAATGATCTTTTCTCAGAACTAACTTCACTTGTCCGTGTTCTTTTTCTTATGTTTAATCAGCTGGTGGCTGTATGAAGTCAGTCTCAGGTTCACACGTGATGACTGACAACTATAAAGTGTTCAAATACTTGTCTTCATTATGAACGGTATTGTTGATTAACAAACTAACTTGCAAAATGTTTTGCTATAAAAATAGTTTGATATTTTGTTATCGATTGCAGTGACGTCTATTTTAGACCTAATTTAAGTGTCCACATACTTTGGGCGCCTATTTAGTGTGTTAAAAGTTTTAAGGAAAGGGTTTGTATTTGTGAAATAATGTTTGACCCTGCCCTCGGAAGTGTTTCAGCACAGCAATTCCAGAGCAACGTGGAATCTACTTTCGATTAAATATGAGGAACACGAATATTGCGCCCTCTGTTGGCAAATTGTAATATTAAGCAGGGCGTTGAACTGTTAAATGATTTGTTTTCTGCACGTATTTATCTTCATATAGAATGGTTTGTGTACTGCATGTTTATAATCGTCTTGTTAGACTGGAACTTTTCGATGTCATTTCTGAGAGAGAAGTCTCTGTTAATTAGGCTAACAATTCTGCATTGTTTGAAGTATTACATTATGTTTTTCAGCAATGGATGGATTTAACCTTTCATGATTAATCGGGCACCTCTGAGGGCCACTAATGAAGAAAAGTGAAGACTAAGATGTAACTTCTTAAGTCTGCAAAAGGTAAAGTATGCAAAATTGTAGCAAATCATAAATATGTTTACATTCTCCATGTTTTAAAACCATATACTCCATTTAATTTGACAAAATCTTGCCTTGATGAGATGAAAGGAGCCCTTTTTAACTGCTTCACGGTCCATTATTACTTTTGGTACGCGCTAGGCCAGACTCAAACTCGTACCGTGAGTAATAATGCACTGTGGCAGTGTGTTTATCAGCGTGGAGAAACTCAAAACAGGTTTGGAAGCAAATGAATGAATAGGAAACATTTCAATACGTTTCACTTGCATAAATGCACACTTTACACTTGCATAAAAACCCAACCATGAGGGGCTCTGACATCTGTATTGTTTTCATTTTAGGTTTGAAATGAAGTAAACTGCATACAATCCAAGGAGTGGAAATTCTGGATGACAACTGTTCATAACTGTTCATTACATTTCTGTATGCAGCATTTAAAACAGTCAAGCGGTTGGAAAATCAATTCCAGCTGAAATTAAGAGTTTGCCTGACTGTACGAAATGTGTTAACGTTCTTGTAGAAGTGGTTGCATGATGTAGGCCTACTAATGAATAAATAAATCTAAGAATAATTTATTTTGTAAAGAAGCAATAATGGTTGAAGCAGTTGTTCTTTCGTTGCCTATAGGTTGAGGGGTCCGTGGACGTCTGACAAACATGCGCTAACTTCAGTGTGCATTGTAATCTATTTGCTTTTGTAATAAAACAAATTTCATCAGAGCAATACAGTTGGGGGTAATGCAAGTAGGTTATGTAATCAAATTACTTTTGTCAAGTAACTAGAGTAACATATTACGTTTTAATTTACAAGAAAATATCAGAGTTACTTTTTCGAATAAGTATGCCAGTTACTTACTTTGTTTTCCCATTTAGGCTATTGACTGACAACGTTGTGTGCGCTGTCACTGTGTAAACATGATGTTACTGTATTCTTGACTAAATGTGAACATTTACTTATCTAACCTGGACAAAAACAGATTCAGTATTCCTCAAAATGAATAAAAACAGTGAAATGCAAACTCAGACTAGGGTTGGTGTAGTAGGGCAATAGAATATAGGGTCTGTACAGTATAAAAACCATTACACCTATGGGTTGTCCCCACTTTTCACAAAAACAAACCTGTGTGTGTGTGTGTGTGTTTTTTTTTACTAAATGAAAATGTAGTTCAGGTATTGGATTCTGTCTTGAACTTGGTATATTTTCTTATGAAACGGTAAGTTGCCATATGTTTGATTAAACTCTAATGACACTACTGGTATAAGGCATAGATATACGATGCCTCATTAGCGACCGTTTCTATGGGCCGCGATACGTAAGCCATCCGCCATTTTTGGAACGGTCTGCGAACTGTTGACTGTGTGCATCTACAACAGCAAGTTAAGAACTACAAACACGCATTAAAAGTGTTTTTAAAAAAAACTACAAACATGGCGGACCAACTGACAGGTAGATAAACGGATTTGAGTGATAAATAATCAATGTCTAACCTGATAAAAAAAATATAAATGTAATGTTATCCACGTTATATTTCATGTTGACCGTTCCAAGATGGCGGACGCGTCAACGTATCTGGAGCGGTCGAATAGGGAATCTATACATATCTATAAGGCTTATCTTTTATGTACTGATTTACTGATGTAAATTATTTTTCATTAACTTTAAGAACAAAAACAAAAAGTAACGTGTAATTTCACTCTGTATAAGTGTGTTGTTTCTTTATCTTAATTTGTATCGTACTTACAAATAAAGAGTTGCTTTTTCTTGCCGTAAAAATGGGCGCGTCCATTTGTAAATTCTGTGTGTCTGGCTTCCGGTCTCATCTGCATCCAGCTATTTTTATCTGTACAAAACAATTCGTTTTGCTGCTTGATATTGAAAATTTGTGTCTTACCATATTATTTTAATGTATTATCTTAATTATGAACACACTGGTTTGTAGTGCAAACAGTTTTACCGTTTACTGCATATTCTTCTTAGCTTGCCTACTATTCTTCTACATACTCAAAAGTATGTACTTTTTCTTCACAATAAGTACTTTTCGGGCATAGTATAAGTAGGCGAATTGGGACGCAGCAATGGACGATCTTTCCGTAGATGAAGGAGCAAGAGCGGAGCCTGAACCATCGTCTAATACAACTGAAATAAAGACAAGCGATGTGTACAACGTGGATAAAAACTTTCTCGCCCATAGGCTTACTTCCGCGTTGAAGAAAAAGGTGGATAAACTTATGTATTTTCCATGTTTGAAAACAAATTTGTGAAAAAAAACATGACCAACTAAATACGCATGACGTCACTTAGTTACAATGTTGATAGCAACCAGCATATGGGATGTCTAGATTCACTGGGGCCTTGGAGCAAACGGAGACATGTGCTGCATCCCAATTCGCATACTATCCGTCCTAAATAGTAATCGAAAATAGAATTAGTATGTCCCAAATCATAGTATGTTTAAAAAAGTATGCCAAAG